GCTTTGGTGGCCTCGATCATATGAATCCTCAAAAAACGTCATCGGCATGCGTGGCAGTCGGTTCATATGCACCTCGTTGGGCGCCAAACCAGTAGCGGCACTAACCGAATTGTTGTAGGCAAACTCAACGTGCGGCAGATGAATGTCCCAATCACCTTGCCTCTGATTGACGACCATAACCAACATCTGAGCCGTAGTGTGGTTGACGCGCTCCACACCCCCATTGCTAGTAGCCAATTTGCGGAGAGCCAGACGGGCGTTCACAGCCTGCGACAGTTTAGAACAAAACTGAGAGCCAGTATCAGACAAGAGACTCAAAGGGCAACCCCACAAAGGGATATTATACCGATTGACAAGTACGTCAGCGGTGCCTTCGGCGGTGAATTCCGCAGCCGTAACCGCGTACATATCAGCACGGCTGCTGGAACGATCAGTGAAAAGCAGAATATATGTGTTTCCGCGCGCGGTGTTCCCGCGCGGATTGACCAGAAGCCGCACATGCGGTGCCCGTATGAACTACTCTACGGCAAGCGTCCTCTCCGCGCCCCGCTGCCGTTTCTGATGCCGGTTTTTCACCATGCCCGGCGCTCCTCCAAGATCGAGGCCACAGCGGAACGCTGCTTCTACCTCGACAGCGGCGTCGGTTACTCGCGGGACTCTTACAAGGTCCTCTACGCTTCGGGCCTCGCGGGATACACCACGGATGTGTCTTCGGCTGCAGCAGGCGCCCGCGTTTCACCGGTATTGTGGCGACGTACGGCGGCACCGCCGCGCGGGATCCGTGGGCAGACGCCGGCCTTGACCAGGGGATCGCAGCCGTTCACGGCGACGGGAGCAGCGGCGATGGAGGCGGCGCCGGCGGCGGGGGGTACGGCAGCTGCGGGAGCTGCAGCGTCGTCCTCGGTCGCCGCCTTGGCGCCGGGCCTTCCGATGGACGCAGCGGCGATGGAGGCGGCGCCGGCGGCGGGGGGTACGGCAGCAGCGGAAGCAGTAGCATCGTCCCCGGTCGCCGGGTTGGCGCCGGGCCATCGGATGGACGCAGCGGCGATGGAGGCGGCGCCGGCGGCGGGGGGTACGGCAGCAGCGGGAGCAGCAGCGTCGTCCCCGGTCGTCGCCTTGGCGCCGGGCCATCGGACGGACGCAGCGGCGATGGAGGCGGCGCCGGCGGCGGAAGGTACGGCAGCAGCGGGAGCAGCAGCGCCATCCCCGGTCGCCGCCTTGGCGCCGGGCCATCGGACGGACGCAGCGGCGATGGAGGCGGCGCCGGCGGCGGAGGGTACGGCAGCAGCGGGAGCAGCAGCGTCTTCCCCGGTCGCCGCGTTGGCGCCTTCCTAGGCGATGCAGATTATTTCTGGATATGAAATACAGAACATCAAGCATGTCTCCATATTCCGAGTATGACAGACCATACGGAATTTTACCTACTACATGACATAGCGACATTGACATTAATTGGACAAGTCAAACTGACTACCTAATGCTGAAGCTACGGTAGGTAGTGCCAAATATTCCAACAGATAGCAGGGGGGGGGCTGTATGCGTGGATCCTTGCCTACATTTTTTATCGTTTTCTTGGACAACAGCGACGGTACCGATTCGCGGGTGCGCGCTGTTTAGGATTTGGTCCTTGGACTCTATATTATTGGAGGAAAGATTTGACATGTTTGGACGATTAATGGTTGGTTGGGGCCGTCGTGCTTTCCGAATTCATTCTCGTTTTGATTGGTCAAGAAGTTGAGTTTTTGTTTTGTTTGAGGATTGCTGCCAACTCTTTTGAAGTTGCTTTTTCCAGTAGTATCCGTTTTCGTTCCGACGCCTTTCTGATGTAGCACAAATAATTGTTGGGTACCTTTCTGTTGTGTCAACGGTTTGAGGTTATCTCCAGAGATGCTTTGTGTTGAATGCGCAGTAGCCAGTTTCGTTGAATGAGTTTATCAAGGGGTGTTTTTCTGTGTTAGCTGATTACCCGCGGAGGGATGCAAGATCGTACATCGTATCAAGTAGGGGGGCTGTTTGTGGTACTTGGATATGAGTCCGAGCAAATACATTATTACCCCCTGATCTACTGCTACACTACTGCTGTACATAATAAGCACTTATTTACTTCCTCCACCAATCTAAAGCATAGCCAACTACAAGCTCACGAAAACAAACGCGGGCGTACGCACACATCGCACGTCAACCGATTATCTTGGGTCCATCCAGCATCGAAGGAGATTCACGCCGAGAAAGAAAGTCGGGTTCGACACAAGAAGGGAGACCCTGCGAGGTACAAAAGCCCGTTTTGTGCCCAAATATGGCGGCGGTGGCAAGAGGATAAAGAGCCCGCCATGCGCGGGCATTCTGCCGAGTATTTTTCCTCCTGCCGTTCTTCTGTCCAATACGGTTTGTTTGTTTTTCGTGTGACCGCCGGGTTCTCATCAACCCGGCAAATCCCCCGCCGAATCGTCTGACACAAAAAACGGAGGGAGTAAGTGTAGACTCTAGTCTTCGTCTGCCACCCAGAGGATGCCGACCGAATTCTCCGCCACCACAATGATCCCGCAATCAAACGTAGCGCCGGTCATTATCCCGGACTAGCCCCTCCAACTCTGACGAGCAGGGCTGATCAGCGTGCCGTTCGTAAAGTATTTCACGTCGTTGCCGTTCTCGCTCGTGAAGAAACCGAGGAAGCTTTTAGTTAGACGGGACGCACGCGTCGTTAAGGGTTCCACGGGGTTTCTGCTCCTCCTTCTGAATGCTTACATATCTACAAGGGCTCTAGCGAGTTCAGCCGCCTCGCGCACTCGATTGACTGCAAGATACGCGATAATTTGTACCGTTGTCTATCAAATTCGTGGAAGGCCCTCTTTTTACATGCTCTGTTTTACAGTGTGCAGAAATTCAGTGAAAAATGGTCCAGTGCTGAAGAGCGAGGGCATACTTGATTCGTGTCACCCGACCACAAATCATAATAATGTGAACGGGTCGCGTCTGGAGCAAAAGGTCGAAAAGAGTGCTCGACCAAGACCAACGTACCAGTGGTACTTACTACGTGAGTGACGCCGACAGACCACGACTGACTACTGCACAGGTGCACGATTTGCGCAACAGTCTGTGACACACAGCAGCAGCAGCCACGACATGCACCAGCTGCATCATTGATGACACACACACGTACGGACGGACAGGTTGACTCCGGTGAAATAAAAAGGGCTGCGCTACAAACCATGCATGCATTCTGTGCTGGCGTCCGCTAGCGGTGAGGTCCTGTTTTCGCCAAGCGGACGGGAGAGGCGCGGAGAGTCACAGAAATGGGAGCGAACGCGGAGAACTTGTGTCTTGCTCTGCCGTATCCGATTGAGATGAGGTGGTGAGCGGGCTCGCCGGGAGTGACGAAACGCGGTCTGACCCATGAACCGCGCCAGACTGATAAAGGCGCCTGTTGACCGGTTCATCCATGGTTCCCGCGAGCGGGTCGACAGACACAGAGTGAATACAACGCGAAGAGTGAACTTACTAATTTATGTGAGAGCCCCAACGCTCCTGGAAAAAAGGAAAATGCAGCGCCCCGTACACCTCATCTGCTTCACGGAGCGTTCAATTTCGTTGAGAGAGACAGGTAAGAGGACCTGTTCCGATGGAGAAGTTGAACAAAACCGGAGACGGCGATGGTTTGCGGTACTTGTGTTACAGTTGTTGCCCGTACTATATGCAGTTCCGAGTGTTTCTTTCGAGTCTGCAGTTCAAACTTTGATTTTTTTCCATGGAGCTGCATCTGCTCGCTATCTCTGAAGTACCTCTGTAATGCCTGCCGGTGTCGGCCACATTGTTTCAGGGTACTCACCCAGAAATCCAAAAGATACCGTTCGATCTCATGGAGGGATATTCTATTCCTTTATTCGCCAAGCTAATGCCGAGAATTCAGACACATGCTGCACACGTCTATTTCATCTCACTGTGCGGAGAATTGTACAGCATTACTGTAGATCACTCTAGTTTTCGTGATCCCGTGCTCGAAACCTATACCTGAGAGTTGCATGTGAGACGTCAAATGCCGACTGACCGCCGGTCAATACCAACGTCGGCGACTTTCCCAGATCGACATTTCTACACCATACATCCAAACAACATCCTCACCGCCAGCACAATATGGTGTAGCAGACCACACCTCAACATATGCTGACCAAACTTGAGCCGATCTCCATAGAACGCAAAGATTCTCCACACCAACACAGCACGACAACAGCGAAAACGCCTCAGCAAGCGCTGCACAACAAATGGGCCATATCCCAAGAACTCTACGCCCGGACATGCCTCTTCCACCGTATTTCTTCGACATCACTTCTTTTCGGGCCCCCTTCACCTCTTCCAAGGATAAGCCAGACCTAACCCGGAAATATCAATGAATGCTGGAACCCCATACTACGACAATCGCAAGTAGATTTCACATAATAGTGCCTACAAACCACCACGGACAACAGCTGATACCCAAAAGTACATCCAAAACACAGAACAGCTTAGATACTGACTTCGTTTATCGTATGTAGAAAGGCGAAGTTCTGGTAGTTCAATCTGCTCCAGGCGACATATAAATATCAATATTGATACATCAATGAACACAAGCCCCCCCGTAGGTAGCAACTGCGCCGCTCATATACCATCGTATATCCCGCATGTCTCGCAGTCACTGATTCTGGTACGTCTGGACAGGTACAGACGCGAAACAACGGAACCATTGGGGCAGGACGAGGAGTGTTGAAGGAATTGCGAGACCGTTCAATCGCTGGTCCGTATGTTTCTCTGACAATTGCCCTTCGTCTCGGGACCGTAGAAAGCGAAACGAAATGATTCCGGACACGACAGTGTCGTTGTTTAACACCGAGGTCAATGGCAACGAATAATCCAAATCAATGACAGCAACTGTCAACGACGTTGGAGAACCGAACACCAATCTTAAAAACGGGAAATCGGCTTCGACGTTGGTACATACATACATGTGAGAACGTTCCCTCAGCGCCTTAGATGATGCAGGGTGCCACGCCGCAAACTTCCCCGACCTCCAGAATTGTGCTCGTGCAGCAGGATGCGGCACCGTTGCCACGCATCGAACAGCCGGAACCGCCGCACTGCCCGCAACTGCGTCGAGACCAAATGCACCCAAACAACGAGGTTTGTTCTTATGCTTATGAAAACATCCACATGTGGTCGCAGACTTTTAAGCGTTTGCAGGCCCTCGAAGTCTTCACCAGGTGCCCCAAATTTCGAATTCCGCATGGGATAGGGTTGGTGAGGGTTGGGGGAAAGGGCTTTGAGTGATAGGCACGCTCGTCGTGGAGCGCACGCATTCCCTACATCGTTGCCACGTAGTGTACCTCAGTTGCTGTTGCACCATTGCCTAAATGTGCACTATCGCGGCAAGAACTGAGCACACATTCATGACCTAACGAGTGCCTGGCTGCGGGGATGGCGCATTTCACGGCGAGCCATGCTTTCTTCTCCAGTGTCAAGCGACGATATATGCCATCGATCTTGTGCTTGAGATAAGACCCCACATATGAACAGTGGCGGCACGTCCAACGAGGCATCTAGATTCGGACATGACCTAAGTTTAGGTAAGGGGGGGAGAGTTCGGGTCCGAGAGTGGTCGGCACGCGAGGCTACCTGTTGTCATACATATACCATGGTACCATGATATGTAGATCGCAACCAAAATACGCTAGCGACCCCGTGAAGCAACGCTATCCCAACTACCGAATGGCGAGTGGGTTACGCATGACTGTTTCGACGCACCTGATCTCGCAGCAAACACCGTCGGACTCGATGCCGGAGACGCCGTTGGTGCACACCGATTCTTCTGTGCAACAACGATCACGTGAACAAAGATAGCACGGTGTTCATCGAGTACAACGAAATCGAGGCGATGGGAGCGTACGAAAGCGAATCACATGAGTCGTGGGGGTCATACAAGAAAACCCAAATGACAATGAGGGAACCAAGGTCATACACGACACACGAAATATTTCAAACGATACATTTCAAGGAGGACCGTATGCTGTAAAGCCCGGTGTCAAAATCACGTTTACACACCAGTGGAGCTGCTGAAACCGTCGTCATCGTCTTCCTGCACCGTACCGCTGGAGTCGTCATCGTCTTCCTGCACCGTACCGCTGGAGTCGTCATCGTCTTCCTGCACCGTACCGCTGGAGTCGTCATCGTCTTCCTCGTACTCGCCCGTGCTGGTGGAGCTGTCGACATCCTGGTACTCGAACATGCTGATAGAGGAGACCCCGCCTGGAATAAGGGGGGTGATGATGGCGAGAAGCGACGAGGGTAGGAGGGTTGGTGTGTTGCGGTATCCTTACGTAAACAAGGGCGGTATCCTAACCAATGGTCGGCTGGATGGGTCAGCCGTTCAACAGTTCGCGATATGCTACAAGTGCCCGAGTGCGTTTTAGGAGGGCGTAGAAGGCGCGGTGACGGACAGCCTGGGTGGCTAATGCTTTCTCACTGCCTCTATTAGTTGTGTCGATACCCCCTTTCTCCGCCTTCACACATTTCCTTCCACCTTGCACCCTCAGACAACCTCATACATCGCTTGCCCTTGCCCTTCATTTGGACTCACCGCAAAAAATGCTCGGGTCTCCAGTGCAGGGCTTGTCGCAGATACCAACCTCGTCTATGATGTAGTCGTTGATGTCGGGAGAAGTAGGGCACCAGCAGACATCCCCGTCCTGTTGTGTTGGAATATGAAAAGTACGAGGTGTACGATAAGACGATGAACTCAATGGCGGAGGAAATGAGAGTCTTAAAGAATCAATCCGTCCCGTATGGATTCATATCGGCAGTATTAACCACTGGTGGCCAAGTTGTTCCGTTTGTACAGTCGATATCAAGGAACGATGTTCATCGCGAACGTCCTTAGTGCCCTGCTTCAAATCTGTGGGTAGGAAATGTGGTCTGTCTGAGATCACGGGTGCTTCGGTCCGTGCAATAACAAAAAACGCATTGGCACACCGTATACGGTCCGTGCAACAACAAACAACGTATTGGCACCATATAGGCGGTTGCGTGTTCATACTACGCTCCATTGGAATAGAACACGGTAGAAGGCGTTACAAATCAAACTCATACCTCCAAGGCATAGAAGGCTGTATCGTACTCTTCGCAGTGGGCGCGGCACAGGGCCTGGTCCGTCTTGTCGAAGAACGATTTCCCGTTCTTCAGGAGCATACCATTTTCCTTGTTGTAGCGGTAGCAGCCGAGGTACTCGTGATCGGTGGATGCCCTGGCTTTCACCTTCTTCTCCCTCTTCATTCTCTGTAGACACGACGCCCCAGACAAACGCAAGCGAGGGAGTTTGCCAAAACAAGACAATCATTTACTTCGGCATATAGATAAGCGTGTATCCGAGAATGAAGCGAAACACGTTTACGGCAAATAGTCATGCAAACAGCATGTGCAGTAGTACATCAATCGTATGTTGTCGTGGCCCACATAGCATCCGTGGTGACACCTGGCACTGCGAAAAATGGTATTTATGAGTATTGCGATGCGCTCCGAAGCCTTCCCTTTGGTGGACATGACTACTGCTGCTGTAGATAGATGTAGGCAGATACAGGCGTTTGTACTTTGAGTTTGTTGCTCATTTTTCTTGGGGGGGAACATGTGTCAAACTTGTCGTACCTTGAGGCTTCGGGCGCCCTGCTGACCATTCCTAACCCCTTCTCCCTGCATAAGACGAGAAGCAAACGAGTGTGAATTGAGCGATCCGGGAAGGACAGGCGGGGCACCCACAGAGGCCGAAGCGATTTTTCAGTCAATATTCGTCGTCAGGTGTACTCTTGTGCCCAGAAATGTCTATGTAGGCACATTTCCCATGTATTTCCTGTGGAGATCTTTCAGCCTCTCTGCACTCCAAGATGGTCCGCGATCAGACATTTCTGTGTTGCCATTGTCAGTTCGGTCGTCTTTGACAAAAGAGCGGCGACGAATTCAAGTCCCGCGCTACTTTTTACACGTTCATCCGGCGAACGTCGGATAGATGGACTAGACTAGAGGAATAACGAGAGCGGCAAGTACACCGATCCAACGACATACACTACCTACGGGGGGACAATGCAACCACTTTGTAATGATTTAGCGAGGGATTGACTTGACGTATGTGTATGTGGACTGCTGCTGTGCATTAGAATATGTTTTGGTCCTTTTTTATGGCGATAATCCCCCCATTTTTTTATTATGGAGACATGTACTATGAACACTCTCTCAGTACTACACACTTGCTTTCAGTGTATTTTTCGTGGAACCACAACCATCCAGATTCACACAGGAGGGGGTAAACATTGGGCTTTTTCTTTTTCTATAATATTTTCGTGCCCCACCCTCCTGCGGTGCGTGCTGAATTTTGTTGTGTTCTTGATAAGGATCCAGCTGTACTGTCCCTTCCCCTCGTCAACGGTGTGCTAACTACCGTCGAAGTTTGGTACTCACGAGGTTTTCAGCTTGTTCGCTGTCGCCCGCGCATTTGTAAAATTTTCGCCCTGTGGGGATTGAACTCAAGACTTTGTCTAGTGGTTTCGAGTCTAGCACTACAATAGGCCAACGGAGCGACCGGGGGTCTGTAGCAACAAAATCTGCTCGATATTGTTCTTTCCCTGATTTTTGTTCTGGTCTGCAACCACCTAGACCCAAAGGGGTTAATAGTGTTCAGTCCCCGAGGTCAATTTACAGCCCCCGCACCCACACAATTTTCAGCCTGAGTAAAACACAAAGCCTCTTTGAGCAGATACCACTGATGTATGACACAAAGCAATGTGTTCACTATCAATGCGGCGCCCTAGATGAATGAGAAATACCGCAGGTCTTTCGAGCCTACTCCCTCCAAAAGAGAAAAATGTTCGTGTTATAGTTTACCTGGTTGGAATCTCCGGCAGATTGGGCCAGTGTCACGGAAGTCATGACGACGAGAAGGAAAGCCGTAAGTCTGACCATCTTGCTGAACCTGTAGCACAAATTCAGCACACGCCAGCAGCACACATTCATTACCCCGGGCAGGGTAAAGAGAACTGGTTAGGACACCAGAGCTGTCATATCAAGTCAACGACGTCGATTCCTCGGGTGGTAGGCGGTGTGCAGATCATGGATGGACTCTGCACGACTGCAAGAGTCACGCTCTGACCTGTTGATCGTCGAAAAGTAGCAAGTAGGGGAGGAAGAGGACAGGAGTGTCTGGTGTGTGGCCGTGTGGGGCGTGCTCTCTGCTTCGTGAAAAAAACGGAGGGCGATATGTGTGAACAAGGTAGAAACGGAACCGTTTGTTCCCAAAGGCAAGATCCGACTGCTGCTTTGTTGTTCGGTCTGGCATCTCTTGTACTGAAGTAGTATCATAGGGATAGGTGCAGTGAGAGAGAGGAGAGATGGGTGACAAGGTCGATACAGAACAGTATTTTGATATTTTGTCGTCCTACTGTACAGCAGTAGTACAGTACTACATTCGACAAGATCCGGCTCATTCTGCGTTTGGTGTGGCATCTTTTGTACCACAAGAGAGGGGTGTAGGGAGGGATGCAATCAGTGGGAGGGAAGAGAGAAGAGGTGCGTGAGAAGGTCACAAGAAACAGCTTGTTGAGAATTCCCCAGAGTGTAACTTCCGACGGTGTTGGATGTGGCATCCTTTGTACCATAGGAAGTAGACAGAGACGCAATCAAGGAGGGGTGAGAGGGAAGGAGATTTTGTGTGTGGGAAGAAGGTCGACACTTTGACACATTACTGTCTACACAGAGAGACATCCCGATGTCTGGAGATACATGTCTCGCCTTCCTTCCCAGGCAGATGACCTCTCCACTCTTGGAACAAACATGTGCAAACGCGAGGTTGTTCGACGTATCTAGAGTACGATACACGTACGATGCGCAGGTAGATACGCATATCACGCGAACCTCGCTACTGCTGTAACTCCTTTATTTTTCATTTTTCCATGCTTCGAAGTTCGAAGTACACATTTTGCGCGCAGTCGGGTTCAGAACCGGAACCATGTGCGTTTCGGCCACGTCCAAATCATTTCGCCGCAGCCTGTTTTCAAAAGTTGACTGGAAGTCCCTCCACCCACCCCCTTCTGCTGTGGTTATATCTCGGTTGTATCTCGAACGGCCTCCTTTGATTGTGTGAATGTTTCCTAAAAGCTGAGAGTCTGGAGGCTGCATCATGTTACCTTACATAGAAGTATGCTCACAAGATGTCGCGATGCATTTAACTTACTTGATATTAGAGTTGACGCACGTGGGGTGCATAGACTATGCTACAATAGTTGGGTTTTTTTCGCCGCGCAACAAGGACCCTTCGTTAATCCTAACCCTAACCCAAAACACTACTAGCAACAAGGGAACTCTTCCATTCACCAATGCATAAACCTCGGATATAGTGGAGTACTGTCGTCTCATATGGTGGTGGCCGTTGCAGAATCCAGTTGTTCCAAGTAGAAACTTCGGAGGACGTGAACGACATGACCTTTGGATTGCAAACCCATGTGAAATGGATCGATTGCCTCATTACCTTGATGCGGAAATTTCATCGGCTTCGGTCCTTCACTTGAAGTGGTACATCCCTCTTTCTTGAGGCCCACATACCTGCCGTTCTGTAATCGGTGACCATGCTGCAACAACAAGAACAACCCGACAGAGGAGCCGGATCACTGTTGTGCACAACAAACGACGCATCTCGTTGTCTATGGCCACCAACTTTCCATCAGCGTTGCGTTGTTCTACATGCCAGTTGCGCTTCACTCGCTTAACATCAAAACAATCAAACATCATCATGTCCGATGGGAAAAAATGCGACGCTACGGCACCACTTCTCATTAATCGATCGGAACGAGTCGACACCGTGGCACCGAACGAAACCGTGAATCTGATGTGTACATTCCGGTGGAAAAGATCTTGCGAACACTGAGGTATGGTACCTGAAACGCTGTGTATGTGCTTCGCCGTGCTGTGGCCATCCCTGAATGCAATACGTGAGTCACTGTACAACTCTACCCCGCTTTTGCACAACGTCCGTATGACGTCATAGTCATAATGTACATGTTGACCACTTTGCAGCTGCATCAGGTACACGGCATGCCCATGACTAGATCGCATGTTGCGCTGCAAGGAGGGTATGTAATGTGTGTGGGTGTCCCGACGGGCATGGTCCCCCTTGAGGAGCGACACACCAAACGAGCGTGGCAGAGTTCCGATGCGGTAGTGTAGCTACATTTCTCATTAGATTCGGCGCTCGCTGTAGTAAAAGCGGGTGTAGAGTTGTACAGGGACGCATCTTACTAATAGTACAACCGGAAAATACAGCTCGAATTACTTTTTTCCGTCTACGCTCAAACGCCGGGTGATGCCGAAAACTACCGTGTCTTGCGACATCGGCTGCACGACATTCCTCCTGCGACCGGGCGAAGGGTACTTCAACGCGACACCAACAGGTAAAGTGACATCTTGTTCGAAAGCGGAGGTGACAACACCTGAGTGAATGGATGTCATGCTCGATCTCACCCATTCATTCCCTCCTCATAAAATTCCCCACCCATCTTTCGTCCGCCTTTGGTGATCGAGCATCGGCCTTTCCACGAAAATCCCTTTGTTTTGTTTTTTACCGCCGATTACAGTATAAATATCTACACGACGGACGGACGCGTGAACCTCACATCGTCTAAGACTTACTTACCCTTCTATTCGTACCGATGTCATAATCGCCTCTACTTCCTCTGCCTGTCAAACCGCTGCACCTATCCCACGCATGCTGGCCGCCCGCCCCACTGGGGGGCGGGGGGCCAATCGTTCCCCCTAGTACATATGAACCACATGAACTTGCTCACGCGACACGGACGGCATCAACGGCAAATAATATTGTTCTTGATCCGACTGTCTTCAGAAACGAAGCGAGTACGGCGAAATTCAGTCAGTGAGGTGTGGGAGGTGGAAGGGAAGAGATATATGTTTGTTTTCTTCTTATTTATTATGATGTGTGAAAATTCACATGATTTCGGGAATTCCTCCCGTGATTGGTTGGTTAGTTGGTTGCATCACGAAAAAACATTATTTTTGTCAAGCTCCGGTGGGAGGTTCCGTGAGTATATTTATCGATTTATCGCATTTTTCTATCGACATAGAGAAGGCCACAATCGTTCTTCGATGATATGCGATTTCGATACGATAATTTGACGCGATATACAGAAATATTCGATACGACACCCTTTGATCTCTCTACGTACGTGGGAGAGAGGAGGTCGACATGGCAAGGAATAATTTTTTGAGATTTTTCCCCAAGATCCGACTTTCGATGGCATTGGGTTGCGGCGTCATCTTCGGAACCGTCAAGGTGGCAGGAGTGCGTGAAAGAAGGTCGACGCACAGAGAGTATGTAGATCTGATACCTTGAGATACATGTCTCGCCCGGCCTTGTGGCGGAGGGCCTCTCCACTCTTAGAAAAGTCATATGAAGTCGCGATTTCCTAAGCGCGTTTGTTGCATATCTACGAGTTGATATCCATTTTTGGTTCCGAACCGGAACCTGTGAATTCCACCCAACCAACCCGTGGTATTAGCTCCGCCTCTGCCGAACACTGGTTCTATCTATGTAACCGATTCTAAACCAATTTGCGACTGCGTTGCGAGCTGCGAGCTGCGGACAATGGCGCAGTGGGGCAGTAGCACATTGGCCAGATGCACATTGCGCGTCGGTACATTTACAACTTGTACCGCCGAGGACCGCGTCCTCTCAACTCTCTCAGTGCCTAGCGCAAAAGAAACAAGAGTAGAGAGGTCATCAATAGAGAGGGCGAGACTCGGGGTACCCCTACTACTGCTGTACAACTCTACAGTATCCTTCGCGGGTTGGATTGCTAATCAACAACGAAGTATCACGGTTCGAGTGTGGCGGTGCTTTCTTGAACTCATTCTTCTTCCGCGGAGAACACGTGATGGAAACATGGAGGCAGGGCGGAACCCGATACAAGCCGGGATTATCAGTTGATACACTAGAGGTAGTCCCTCTGCTCCCAGAGTATCACTTACTTGCGGTGGTGCACATGATTATGCAAATTCAGTTCCTCGTACGCATGCAGTCGAGCTGTCAACTATGGGGAGTAAGAAGAATAGACAGACTACCGACCCGAATCTACAGGTGGGATCTGGATAAAATCGCCGGCGGTATCATCAAGGTGGAACCCGACACATCAACCGAAACGAGCTCCTGTCATGGAAAGCGATCATTGCAACCGAAAAATTGCTACACTGAAGATGAGTCGATACTTTATATCTAGACGGCAAAATCGTGCAAAATAGTGCACACAAGGCGAATCCCGAAAACGACACCACTTTCGAACACGAGCATAGCGGACAAACAACTCAGCAGTTCCTCTGCCGCAGTACGAGACAACAACGTCACATACTTCTACCCTTGAACTCACGAATACACCCCACACACATACATGCACTTTCCTACCAGACACAAAGATCTTCAATCTGCCGCATGGTCACGTAGCTTTTGCGTCCGCAACCCCCGCACATTATCAACCCCTCCCACATACGCACAGTCAATGCCGAACCTAGTAGAGACCTCGTCTGCATCACTTCGATAGTCAACTCTTAGACGTACGTCTGCAACAAATCTTCGCGAAGTCCCTCCCTCCACATCTTTCTCCGAATGACTTGAAAAACAAGAACCCAGAGTCCACCGCAAATAAAGAAGTTTGTCCACCGGTACCAGGATCCCTGTTCATGTGATTTCCGCCCTCCTCCTCTCCTTCTGACCACTTGCCCCTCCTCCGTCAACGTCAAAAACACAGCAAAAGAACAAGACCACCTTACCTCATTTCACTTCCAAGAACGGCATGTCGGCAAATACCTACGGCGTGGAGAGAATGCTTCCCAATATCCTTCGACAACCAACGACACCTCGAAAAAGTACC